TTCCAAAAGAAAAAGGACAGACTGTAGGTTTCTAAGAATTTCATACTGTTGCAACAGCCCTGGGAAGGATTTAGGCATTCAACAGTGAGTGAAAAAGTGCATTCACAAAACGCACAGGTAAACATGCGTGCATGGGCAATTGAGATTTGAGACACAGCTGAACGACTAAGCGAGGAAGAGGAGCAAACCAATACACCTGTGATGAGTTTTGTACTCATGGAGGCCTTACTTGTGCCCCACACTGTGCCCTCTCCAAGGAGGCTGCATCTGGCACTCTACAGTGATGTCTCTAGGACATGGGCTGTGCAGCAGAGCTCTTCCAAAACTGTTCTTGCTTACCCCAGATATCATGATTCCCCCTAAGCTCACGGTGCTGGAAACACTGCAGAACCATCTGACTAGGCTAAGAGGCCCACAGTCAATCTGCATCCAAGAAATCAACAGAAAAAGAACAAAATGGAAAAATGTTATGTTGCTAAAGTTCCTCAGCACTGAATGCAGACAACAGACTTCTTTCCTCCTCAAGACCTTCAGATAGCTACCTCCTTAGGGGAATAAACAAAAGTATTGATTATCAGATGTCAAATGAGACCTGTCACCAAATGTGTAATTAGGGCTTTAAAAGAAGTGTAACTAAAGGCAGCAATCTCCTGTTCTTGTGGATTAAAAACACGGGCTGCAGCAATAAGCCATTCAGCTGGGAGTCAGCCTCCCTTCCCTCATCTATTATCAGTGTTCTGCGAACTAAATCAGCATACTAAGGAACTTAGCTTTGTCCTGAATGCAATTAAACCATCGCATAGAGCTGTGCAGTTGCCAATGTTTTTTATCATCTTACAGCAGGAATCAGAGAGTAAGAAAAGACTGCTACTGTGCTACTGACTTAGGTGTAACCTACCTGCCTAGCTTTAAAGCTGAACATTTAACATAAGTCTTCTTTCCTTTCTGGCCCAGATCTTCCATTCTTGATAGTAGATGCCCAGTTTTGAGGAGAAATGAATAATTGTTGATTTCTTCGTCTAATGAAATGCTTTGAAAAATATATCATTTGTTATCCAACCTTAGCTGAGAGAAACAGTACAGTGGATGATGGTGCTCTATCTGAAACCTGGTTCTGACAATAAATACACAGCAAAAAAAATGAACTTTATTTCAGTATTCATTTCCCATTTTTCACTACTGTGAAATACACCCAGTTTCAGAACTTTTATCTTCTGAAGGTAGAACTGAGCCAAAACACAAACTCTTGGGTGATGGTTATGCCTTCAGGTACAAAGACATATCTAAAATTTATGTTGAAACATAAACCTTATTCTAGTCCAGTGCACACTTCTATTTAACAAACATTGCCCCCAGTCAGATGTGACTAGAAACATTTTGTTCTGGAAGAAAATAGAAACATGAACACCAGTTGGAGCAACGAGGACTTGAAAAAAATATATACCCAGAGTCAATAGAGGCATTGAAGTGGGACCTTCACCAAAACAGATTCTGGTCAATACAAAGCCACACAGACCTGCCAAGGCAAGCAGTGCTATTCCAATTTTGCTTCCAGTATTACAACCTGAACACACGATCCATCACATTTGATGGATGACAAGGAGAGAAAAGACATTTCTAGAACTCTCCATTTTTCTTAGCCCAAGAATGCACGTTGTTATTACAGAGCTTATTGCTCCCCCTCAGAGTAACCTTGCCACAGAATCACATTGCTGCTTATGGTCTTCCAAAAAAGGAGCACAGTCCTACGGACTCAGTACATCAAATGGCAACTACTCCACAACCAATCATATTTCTTTAATTGCTAAGATTCTTAAACACTGATTCTTAAATTTATTCTCAGATTAATCATCCAATATTTTTAATTGGATCATTTTGTAAAATATGTGCAAAATTCCTTCCACATCATCTTGATAAATCATCATACTTTGGAACAGGCTGTAACTGCACTAACAACACAACTGACTAAAAAAATGCCTATACAATCTCTAATGCAAAAGAAGCAATGGGAATGTGTTTGAGCAGAGAAGGTGATAAAAAAACGTGATGCTAATGAACTCCTCTATGCAGAGGCTAATAAAATGGATGAAGAAGTCTGGCTGGCTGCAGCTGAGAGCAAAGTACTGGGGAGGTATTTTTACTGGTATTTCCTGGCATCACAGACAGACTTATCTGCACAGCGAGGGGAAAAAGTACTTGAGCACAGCAGGTCCTCTTGGAAGGAAAGGCAAGAGTCTTTTCCACAGATTACTTGCCAGAGCTCTGTGAATGTACTAATGGCAGCACTGCCCCATTCAGAGGATAAAACAGCAGCATATGGAACACACTGCAAAGAATACCCACACATCAGCACACCAGAAAGAACCAAACGCCGTGACTTGGCAAGATTCATTTAAAAAATAACTTCAAAAATCTCTTCGACTGGATCAACCTCGACGTGGCTGAGAGACATCCCAGGTGGCTCTGAGCATGATATAGAACACCAGAGTTCTGTGCAAAGAGCAGAGTTTTGCAAAGCCAACTCGTGTTAGCTTCTTATTCAGTGAAAAGGTAACAATCTTTTTCCCTTAATTTTTCTTTAGGAAATGTATCTTGGGAGAACATACAGCGTCTTTTTATGGGGGATGGCCAAAGATGTAGCTCCCCATAAGTACTCTGTAATACAAAGGATAACATCATTCTGGAGACAAGCTGCTGAGATGGAAAGACACGACTGTTCAAGGCATTTGCTAACTCTGCATGCCCAGGTAAGACATCCTAAACCTTAGCTTTCAGCTGTAGCATTAGCCTGCACACTGTATGCTCCAGGCATGTCTTCTGCTGCCTTCAGGTGCAGAAGTACTTAATGCTTTTGGAAATCATATCCCAGTATTCCAAATCAATAATATAACAAAAGATTTCTTTTAGAAAAGGACATATTATTAGCAATGTTAGTAATGCAATCAAATTTCCAAAAGCTTAGGAACATATTGTACTTCAGTGATAAACTTTGATACCAGTTACCTGAAAAGACATCTTGTCAAAGTTTCAGCAAGATCAATAACCTCATTCTCATAAACAGTAGGGAAAGTGGAAAATATCACCATAAAACACATGGAACAGATAAGTAAGTGCATCTGCAGAAAGCTGAGCAAAAAGGAAAGAACATATACCAGATGTTATTGCACCCAGACCTGGAGACTTGATTCACTGGAAAAGCAAACTAATTTTTGTTCATTTTACGCACACACACACATGAAGACATACTCTATGAGATTCTGTCCATGAATTGGTCCCTGAAATTCACAGCATGCAATATAATCATTCTAGGAGTCCACACTTTGGATATTTGTCTTCTGCCTGTAAGAGGCTGGCTGATATTTTGGGAACTCTTCATCAGCTGTCTTAGCAGGGAGCCGCCAGCCCTCTTCCTCATACAATGAACATGCTTCTGCCAAGTATGACACACACAAAAAAAAAACCTAGAATTTTTGCTTTTAGTATGCTTTTCTCATTCTCCTTACTCTTATGGGTCATGTTCCTGCCCTGGGACCAGCAAGGAAACTCCTTTTGTGGCTTAGTTACTGCATTATCGTGTTCTCCCCTCCCTATGACTAGTCTCCTCTTGCTTCTTAGAAACTCAGTAAAAATATAGTCAGAAAAATTATCTGAACAGTTGAACACCAGGGTGTCTGCACAGACCACTTTTCCCTTATATCAGTTAGGCCCCACATTTGATTGCCAGACAAAAAATACTGTTTCCTTTACATCCAGACTCTTAACCCTTTACAAGGCCCCTCAAAGCCCTCTCGCTGTCTGGAAGGAGACAGCAGCACTGGGAAGCCACTGCCCATCCCAAAACACGGCTCTGGCTGTGTCTCTGCTCAGGACTGCATGTTCTGGTGCCCACAGCAAGTTTCAGAAGTAAATGTGAATGCATTTCATTCAATGTACAGACTGCTAAAGCTGATTATTATTTGGAAGATGTGAAATTATTCATGCAGTTGTTTCAAAAAAGAGAAAAGCTTCAGAAGTACGGAAGAATGGAAATGCAACAACACGACAGTTTTGATTCTTAAGGAACTTTAGTAAAATTATTAATACTGAAAGATTTTTATTTCTGAAAGATCTTAGCTGCTTTTGGTAACATCCTGCCATTTTCTACGCTACTCTAAAAGTTCAAAGAACCATTAAATTACATTTCCCACTTAACATCAAACAAAAAGTCTAATTCAAACCTTTACCAAATTAACTTACAAGATGCCTCTTGGGCCCAGACTGAACCAAACTCACTAGCACTGTGCAGTCCCTAGTAGCACTAGAACACATGTGCAGGTGTCTTTGATTGTTTTTAACACTCTGAAATTTCTGCACACAGACCTGCTTTCTGACTCAGCTCAAGCAGAGACTGGTGTAGCAGCAGCACGACAGAGCCAAGTGATGAGGTCCAGCTCCCTGCCTTAGCTTGCCCTCCTGTCATCTAGCCCTGTCATTCCTCTGGTTGGCCAGGAAGTTAATTTACAGAGATACATGAAAACTAATTTTAAAAAAATGTTTGCGAGATTAGCAACTGAATAGGCTGGCTCAGTCATGGGGCTAATAATGCAGCCAACCTCAGGGGAAAACCTGTTCCAGCACCTCACAGTACAAATTTCTTCCTAATATCTAGTCTAAATCTACCCTCTTCCAATCTAAAGCCATTTCCCCTTTCCCTGTTTCTATCCAATTCCTTATCCAGCAAGTGGTCCATCCATAAAATCCTCCTTTCTCCAATCTGGCAACCAGGATGTCATGCAGGACAGCATCAAACACTGCACAAGTCCAGGTAGATGACATCTGATGCTCTTCCTTTATGCAGTAACACTGTAACTCCATCATAAAAGGCCACCAGGTTTGTCAGGCATGACTTACCCTTGGTGAAGCCATGTTGGTTACCACCAACCACCTCATCTTTATTTTCCATGTGGCTTCAGGAGGATCTGCTCCATGATCTTGCAAGGTACAGAGGTGAGACTGACTAGCCTGTAGTTCCCTGGATCTTCCTTTTTTTACCTGCTTGAAAACGGGGGTCATGCTTCCCCTTTTCCATTCAGCTGGAACCTCACTAGACTGCCATGACCTTTCAAAAATAATGGAGAAGCATGCAGAAGAAGAGGAAGGAAGGGAAGGCACTCTCTGCATGCAAAATCTATCCCTGCTGCACCATGACATTAAATTTCTGAGCCACCAAGTGTGGCACTGAGGCTGCTTTTGTTTTCTTGGCAGCTGCTAAATGACCAGGGCTCCTTGGTGATGTTGCAAAACAAATAGCATTAAGTGACAAAGTTAAAAATAATTGTGCTTGGTCACGTTAATGGTGTGTAAGGAATATTGCAAGGATTTTTCCAGTAGCCAAGGTGAGAAGTGTGTAACCCCAGCATGTGTTACATGCTCTATGGCCTAGTGGCAGCCTGTCATAACAAAGAGACTTTTACATACAAGAAGTATAATCACACAGTCTGAAGTGGGTGTATCACTTTCCATGGGCTATCCTGGTGACTGCTATTGTGACTGACCTTTTTATTTATATTTTAAAAATCCCTGTCAGCAGTGTGCTTTGCTTCCTGCAAGCCTGAAAGGAGAAGGAAATTACAGGCTGACTCAGACGCACAATGCACTGGATTCAATGAACAAGCATCTAATGGTAAGAGAAACTTCAGTTCTGTTCTGTTCTTAGGGAACAGAAGGAAGAAACAACTTTTCACAGAGTGATCTAGAGACATACTGGCCAAATCCCTCACTGCAGTCACACCACAGTTGTACCCTGGTAACCCCAAGCATGACATAACGTTAAAGCAGAAGGCTGGACATAAGCAAGTGGTTTGCAAAACCTTTTTCTTGGTTTATCGTGGCTTCTCCTTGGGAACCTCTTTAGCAGAAGTAGCTGCACAAAACTGTCCTCCTTGTTGGCCCTTCTTGACCTCAGCTGTGCCTGTGCCTGGGGCTGACTGGCACATCATGGCCTGCTGGACCAAGGCCTGGGGGAAACCACAGCGAATTGCTGTGATCTGTGCCAAACGGCCCTGACATGGAAGGATCCTGCACAGGCACCTAGAGCCATGGCCTGCCTAGGAATGCCACCTCTGACACTCAGGGGAACAGGAGAAGTATGGCTCAGTGCCTGGAAGAGGCACTCATCAAAGGACTAAGGGCTGGGACATCACAGAGGACCAGCAGAGCCTGGCTAGATCAGTTTATTGCAGCGTTTCTTCAAGGCTGTCACAAGCTTCTCACTCCTACTTCAGTTCATGTACAAGGTGGCAACTAGCCAGTGAAAATCTGCATGGGGGCAATTAATCCTGAGAACTTGGTGTGAAACGTAGGCTGCTGTGACAAACAAAAAACATTTTTGCTTAATCATTATGAACTGCTTCCTCAACCACAAGCAGTCACACAGCTGTAAGAGAAAACAACAGCTTGCTTTAAAGCAAACTCCTGCTAATTCCTGAATGAGGGGGTTGGATGAGCTCACACCAGCCTGGCTGTTTGCTCGTCACGGCAGTGTGTGCACGATTTCAACTCTGCCTCTTTAAATAGCACGAACCACAAAAGCTCTCAAAAAACCCTAGGTCACTAGCAACCCATCACACTGATGAATCACAGACTGAACTTTCAAGAGCAGTTACAACAAACAAATCTGTGCAAAGGCATCACAAAAATGGCTGTGCATATATTAGAGAATTTAATGAGAAAACAAGCACAAGTAGATGGCTGACAAGCACAACCGTGGTGGAATTACTCAAGTAAAGCACATGTACATCTTCTTTCCTTCTATCTCCCCCATGATCCCACCTTCCTTTCCAACAGTGGGCTCCACCCGGGATCCCTGGACATTTGCAGAGGGTCAACTCCTTAGCCCAGTGCTTGAGTTTTGTGCATGTCAGTAGAAATTTCTTTCTCACCTTGTACACTGGTGCTGGTGATCCTTTGCTGAAATTTCACTCCCTTAACGCAGGGATGCCTTCTCATTAAATATGGAAAGAATGCACATAGTAATGTAATTAAAAGAGAGAAAAAAAAAATCACACAAGGAAACACAGTACTCATAGAGGTTATGTCATTCTTACTGCCCTCACAAATAAAACGACTTTTAAAAGATGAACTTCTACCTTCAGCAGAAAACAGCCTTCCTTTCTTCGTGATGCAAGAGAATAACATGTCTGAGAACAGCTCTGGCTCTGCAGTAGCAGCAGCTCCAGTGCCTAAAGCAGGGCACAGCTGTGGGACTGCTATGCCTGCCAAGTCTGGGCAGATCAGGATGGCATTCAGTGGTCATCCACAGAAGGCTCAGCAGCCTCTGTGCTACCCAAGGGCTGCCCACAAACAGCAGGCATGCACAGAGGCTGTAACAATGTATGTCACACTTCCCCTTCTGCTGCCTTTTCCTCTGACACCTTGCAACAAACCAGTGTCCTGCCTTCCACCAGCCCCATGCTGACTTGCAGGATTTGACACTCTCTATTTTCCCAACATATGCTCATGCCCCAGTAGAGATAAATGCCCCCAAAACACTCAGAGATATCCAGCCAAAGCATGCTGCTTAGGCTAAAGATCACTTCTCACGAATCTATAAAAATAGAGAATACATCACAGAAACAGCACAAATAGCCAATGAAAACAAGTTCCTGAAATTTACAGGATGGCCCAACCTGATTTGAATTGGACAGCTTAATTACATTTTTTTTTTATATGCCATGGTTTATCTACTTACTGTAGTTCATAAGACAAATATTGATTTAAGAGCAATTCAGCTGTGGAAGAAATCTCTTGTAAAAAAACAGCAACACAGAATCATGGACAGAATCATGGAGCCTCAATCATACAGCATCTCAGTGACCCTGTAAGAGGTCTACCATTTCACAGACTCCTTCTTACAAGCTTTTTGCAGCCTTCATACACTTCTGAGGCCTCTAGGAGTACTTAAAAACTCTGCAAGAAAGCCTTCATTAATATTCAATATCACAAAACCTGTATGTAAGGAAATTTACTCTGAGAACAGTCTAAATTTCACTTCTAATGCACTGTGTTCACATGCATTCTTGATAGGTACGTAAGTCCTGTCCTCACTCATGCACACACAGAGAGCACAGCCCTGCCCTTCACTGAACAGTGAACACTGAAGATGACTCACTACCTACTGCTGGAGCTACCACAAATGTCTCCTTTAAAGTAAGTAAACCGAAAAGAGTGAAGCATTTCAGATTTTTCATCTTTTATGGAGTCTCAGAGACAACACTGTTTTAAAACAATAGCAAGAAAAGACAGAATTCATGCTTCAAAACAACAATTTATTATTATTTTTTTTTAACATGTGAAGTATTTATTTTACTTAAAAAGGAAGCTTCAGGAGATGTGGTATGGATTGACATCCTGGGTAGTAGAACATACTCTGCTATTGTAGGGGCTGCACAATATAATCCCTTTCAGATCTGCTAGGAATTAGTATCATTCACTGTACAAGCTCCCCAGTCACTTTGTTCATCTCTTTGTCAGCGCAGGACTACAGGCAGGTATCAGTTAAAAGCTATAATGCTGAGGTTTCAAAAGAACACTTTATACAACACCAACCCACAGAGATTAATTAATATATATTTTTTACATCCTACAATGACAGATGAGTTCAGCTGCTAAAACCTCTCTCTTAAACCTCACAAACCCATCAAACCTTGCTACACATTTTACATTCTGGTGTAACTGTACAGTTTTTGAACAGAAATTATTCCACCTCTGATCTCTCCTGCAGCCTACTCAATAGTTTGCTATCGGTGAGATTTTCTGCCTACAGTTGTGGCCATCTCTGCTCTGACTGAACACTGCGTGTGACCCTGGCCACAGATGGAAACCTCCTTATGAAAATATAAGCACAGAACAACAATTGAGAGAAGCATTCATAAAGGAAAAAGTCAACAGTTTCTTTGAAAATGCTGCAGCATTTGAACAGGTTTGGTTTTTTTTCCCATTAAAAAATAAATCTTTTATCTGTCAGACCAGGTCTGCTATGTTTGAATCTTGTATGATAATATATCTATAAAGATGGCTTATTTTAATAAGTCAGAATTTACATTAACAAAGTTAAAGATTTCTATTTAATTGAACTGATCTCCTCCCTCCTTCCTACTTGTCTCCCTTTCCTCTCCAAAATGAACCTCTATAAACAAGAATATGGCACAAGCTTAACTTGATCTGTCTTCCTGAGATGTGTTGCCAACTATTTTGTCTCATCGCCCTGAAGCAAGGATGCCAGCATATTTTTGCTCTTTATTTAACTAGCATCTCTTGCTTTCCCAGCTCTCAGTTAACACGAATAACAAAGCTAGCTCCACTTAGCTAGCTTACAAAATGCAAGATGTGACACACAAAGCCCAGAGAGAGGCAACCATAACAGTCAACAGCAAGACTAACACAACGTCACCTAAAGGCCACAAGAGCCAGACATATCAGTCAGAGCACTCAGGTTACCTTCCCACTGGCCAACTGCACTCAAAGGCCTTGGGCTGGGTAGTAGGAAACCTAGTAGGAACATCAATAAGAAGCCAGTCTTAGTTTACCTAGGGCCATTTTGTGTTTCCCTCTGAATAAACTTACAGTTACAGCCTAGTTTCAAGTGAGCAGCCACTGGCATCAGAAAAGCCCCTCTAAGCTATTGTCTCACCATGGATTTTTGCTGACATGCTCAAGAGAACATGAAAAAGGCCAGGATAAAGATACCAGTTTCTAGAGTTTCTTCTTGATAATGGAAGGGTAAGGCCATCTGAAGTTTGACAAACTGCAGCTGGAATTTTACAGGAAAATATGGTCATTAGGTCATTTGGACACCATCACTATCATCAAGACCACCCTTAACACTCAGCAAGTAAAACTTCATATTGGACAGAGTAATTTTTAAACACTGCTCTCTGCATTCAAAGATTCTGGCTATTTCAATCTCACTGGTGAATACATACTTTTATTCCACCTTCTTTTGAATTGCAGGTGTTTACGCTCTTCAGAGAGGCAGAAGAGATGAGCACTGGTAGGTACTTGGGAAAGATAAAATATCAATGCCTGGAAGCCAAACACAAAACCTCAGAAAAATGAAAATACCTTTGTGCCAACTCTTCATTATTACTCTTGGGAACTTTACTGCAAAGTCAGAGTCAACATTTCATGACATAAAGATCAGTTTTAATCCCTTCTGCCCTTGCTTTTCCATTCAAAGTCTTCTATGTGAACACTTCTCATTGAGAACGATGGCTCCCAAAAATATTTAGGCCTTGGGAGGTTTTTTGGTTTTAATACTTAAGTTGAAATATCATTACATAAGAGGGCTTTTAGAAGGTGAATGTAAATTTAAATTTTCTGTTATATTTTCTATTTTTAAAAGGAAAGTTAACTTGCTTGTTTCAATCATAATAGACAAAGGAAGAAAAGAATTACTGCAAATAAATGAAATTGTTTCCACCCTGTGGAATACGCAGCCATTACAGCATTTTAACAAAACATTTTGAGTGTGAACAACCAGAAATAAAGTCTTTTTATCACAGCTTTTCTTCACAATTATTTCCTTTATGGGGTATCTTTGGGCTGCAGGCTGCTCAGCACCTGGGAGTGTTCATTCCATCTCCCAGAGCCGGTTGCAGAGGAACATTTTTCTAAAAGCTTCTACTCTGAGACTACTTTGGCGTTGCAGACAGAGAGCTGTTCATGCATAGAAAGACCATTCGCTGATGCCATCACCATTTCAACAGCAATTATAAAGTAATAAAGTTCAGTAACATCTCCAATCTTCAATATCCCCTGCACAAAGCAAAACCTGAAGCAAGGGTAGTCATATGTACAGGACATCACATTTGGAGGCTGTCTAGACAGTAGCAAATATAGCAGAAATCCACCACAGAGATTTCCAGGTGAATTGTTTTGCACATTAATATGCGTGTTAACATAAGGTTTAATTATTGCCAGAACAGAGCATATGTTCTTGCCTGCTCCTCAAGTGCCTCAATGAGTTAAACAGGAAAAGAACAGTCAAAGGTATTGGCACTTTTAAAAGATAGTCACAATAAACAGGATGAGTTGCAAGGATATTCCATCATACATTCCCTGGCCACTCTGGGAGCCCATTAATGCAGCCCTGATGTCACTGTGCACCACACTGAGCACATCCTGAATATGTTCCTCAGGATACTGCCCTTGGCACTTGTTCACAGACTAGCCTAGAGGAATGAGGAGAAAATACCAACGACTGAAAAAAGCACATCAGTAGAACTCTTGCCTGGCTTACTTCTTCATTTGAGTCAGCTTCCAACTCCTTAAGACACTGTGGGAGCACTGAATAAAATGTACACTCAGGAAAATGTGCATCAGGAAGCAATGCAATCAGAACAAGAGAACATGCAAGCAGAATCAATGATGACCACAGCAAATATGGCACTCCTTTTTATGAGCACCTCCAGTAGCTCAGCCTGAAGTTTTCATCCTCCCAGAGGGCCCTGTCTGCCTGCTGCTTAGTCTGATTTCTTAACTCTCCCGTTCAGATGCTGATTCAAGCTCACTCATTTTATCTCCTATTTGTCTTTGATCCTGAAACGGTCAGAAAAAGATTCAGAATATCTGTAGCACACTGCATCTTAAACAGCACTTCCAGATGATTTCAGTGGAGGCTTTTGTGGAAAAACTAATGAGAACAAAAACTCCATAGAGATTAGAGATGTGAGACAGAATCCTAAATAATCAAGCAGATTGCACACGCGATGCTGAACCAAGTATATCTCAAAGAGAACAGTTAGTATTAAGTGATCTGCTGACTACAGTTCAGATTTGTATTTTACTCTACACTGTTTGCTTTGCACACACTGTTGTTCAATGCTTTATCTAGCTGCATGTTTGAGATGGTGAAGTATAAAGAAAGATACAAGCTATGTTGAGCCTGATCCCAGTCCTCAGTCCCCTTCTCCCCTGTTCACATTTAATGCACAGCCAGAGCAATTGAAAATGGTATTTCTGGGGACAATTCCACATGCCATCATAGCTTTCACAATGGCAGTTTTCCTTTCTGAGTTTCATCACAACATGATAAATCTCAAATGTCTTTCATATTCAGCAGCCATATACAGCAGCTTGTATACAATTGAAACATCATGCTTACTTTGCCTATTTGTTTATTCTGATTTCTGGACAAAACAGACAGCTGCACAGGGTCTCGCTGTACTTCTGAGATAGTGTGCTTGCTTTTGGCAATAGTGTTGAGAAAACTGGCTTATACGGCCTTCTTTTCTCTTGCTCTCCAAATTTCTTTCTTCCTGTTTACTGGCACAACTACTTCTGCATCAAGGAACTGATCCAGATGAAAAAAAAAACAGAAAAAAATCAGCTGGCTTCTGGACTGGGCTCACAAGGTAGCTGTATAATGGAAGGACAACACGGAGGCAGGAATAAGTAATCTGTGACAGAGAGACAAGGTGGTAACTGCCTCAGCATTGGCATGCAGAGACAGACATACTGAAGGAGAGTATTTTCTCTCCAGCCTCCCCAACCTTGGCTGCAGGGATGCCACAGAACTGTTATTGCAACAATTTAAAAATGTGTTACCCCAGCATTTCACAGACCTGATGAGATGCTGATTTTTCTTATAATTATATTTTAACTGTTCGGTAAAGACTGTCAGGCTCTTTCAGAATCAAAGTCTGGGTCAGGTCCTTCCTCTGCCACTTGCCCTTGGTTTCTGCAGGAGGGAAGCACAAGTCTAAGAGGCAGAGATGAGGGCACAGCTGTATGTACCTACCCTGCACCTTGACCATGCCATAGGAACAGCTTAATGTGTCTATGGGGAAGAAGAGCAATTTGGGAACCAACAGTTTCTTTTTAGCTCTATACAGAATGCCAACGTACATAACAGATGTGAAATCAAACAAACAAAAAAAGCCCACCAGACTTTAAATTTGTTCCTTGTTTCACAGCATTCTTTGAACAACTCTTTCTGCTGTTTGCTCTACTGAAACACTTTGCACTTCACATCTCAACATATGGAAAAGCAGCTTTGTACCTGGAAAACTTCACTATTCACACACGCAGCCTGCCACGAGTTTGAGGTATCTGCAACAATCCTGCGCACATTTTTAGCGCCAGTTAAGCCTAACTTGGTGGCCCTTTCAAACCACCAATGCTATGCTGGCAGTGGTATGAGTCTCAAAACATATCTAGGACCTCAGCTCAGTGGAATTTTCAGTCCATGGTAACTATTTAGTGCAACATCCGCACAAGCTTTTAATAGAGCCACCAGGACTTATGTCATACTCCAGGCACACGGGGCCCAATCTGCTCAGCCTTTAACTAGGTCCCATCAGTATTCTGTCTCAAGGACTGTGCTAAGTGCTAATGCAAGTGTTAATAACTTTCAGTATTAACTAGTGGCTAGGGAATTTTTCCACCTTTTCCTCCCCCCTTTACATCTGCTTAAAAAAACCTCTAATAATAGCAACGAAGAACAGTCAAGTGGTTGCAAGACAACAGCAGATCAGATTCTTACCATGCGCTTTCATGCTCTTCCAAAGACTGATTATTCTTCAGAAAGACATTTTAGATACACACAGCTCAAAATAATTACTTAAGAAGTTATATTAATAGATTTAATGAAGAGCTATCAAAGAGACTTGAAGGTGTCCTAACAGTCATGATGAGCTTTATGCTGTCAGGGTTTCATGGAAGGAACAAAATGGGAGGTAGAAAAGGAACTATTGGTATTCCCTAGACTGCACACGCAGCCATACAGCATGCCAAACTCAGTGGACTTTGCAGGCAACAAGCTACCATTGGGGAGAAATTGTGTTTTTTCATATTAACCCCCCCCCCCCCCCCCCCGTGTTTGCAGTAGAGCTATCTATGAATATTCCTCCAACTGCAGAGACAGTGTAGGTGTGATTTCTGAGGTCTTACATAGTATGAGAGAACATGACACTGAAGTCATGAAGAACAGAACAGCTTCTCTAAATTAAAAAAAAATACCAACATACAGCAAAAATGAAGGCAGTGCACGTTATCTATTACAGT